CACAGAATACTGCAGCGAATTTCGCATCACTTTCTGGTACCCAATTAGACAGTGACTCAACTTATGAAAACAAAGCAACACAGAGAACATTTATTGATAATCATTGAATAGAGCTCATGGTCGTTATTTAGCAGTCATGCAATAAAAAAAACAAACGCGAAGAAGAGTGAAGAAGAAAACCATCGCGCTACGTTGAAGAGGACAAGCAGGCAATGGCATAGATGCTGCAGAACGAATGAGTGGCATAACAGGCATCATTTAGGTCAACGCCACGAGGTTGGCAGGAAAGTTCATCAACCAAAACCCGAAATGCGGAAACCTTGGTGAACAGCGTAGAACTCGTAGAGCGTAAAGGAAACTACCAACACATGAATAGGACTCAGTGGCCTGCGTGCACATAAGCACATGAAGGGCTCTATGAAAATTCGTACCTTTTTAATGCTCAGTACATGTCAAAATTCCTAAAATTCTTACCTTAATTCCTTACCCGAACCGAAACGGTTATTTTTGCGGTCCGGTGATTTATGCTGGAAGGTGTATACTCTGCGAATAACTATAAACGAGTCGCTATTGGTTGCCCAGCGACACAGAGCGACCAACCTACCCAAACTCGAAACTTCACCAACAAGAAGTGATAGTACTTGGGAAGAATCGTGCACGAAAACTGATGTCATTTTGCTCAGAGATTCGACTTCTGATTTGCCCGCACAGACCACCAGTAGGTTTTCAAGCAACGAAACCTCAAGCAACATTTAGATTGTTCAGGCCGCCAAAAAGAGCACGGACGGTCTGTGCTCAATCCTTCGATCGCGTGCTCAAACAATCTGATCCCCTGTCTCACAAGATGATTTGCACCTTTCCTGAATTTTTGCACCTTTCCTTCCTCAGGCAGCCGCTATCCTATAGTAGTTATCCGCATACAGGACCATGCACAAAAATGTGCAAGTAGTCGCGTGACTCCAAAAATTTTAGCTGTTTCACGCGGCGGTTTTGAATGGATTATTTCCTCGGCATTCTGATTCCTTGGCAGGTGACCACAGTCTGCTGGGTGGTGTCAGGACTCACCGGTGTGCTCGAAACCAGGACATGTTCTACCTGTTTGGACATGTTCTTGGCAGATGGAAGATGAGGAAAGAGAGAACGCTCCAAGCAAACTGCGATAGGGTCATATCGATCGGAAGTTGGCAAAATGCCAGGTCAGGATCCACCGCCGCGCCACGCGACCAGGTCGCCGCGCGCGGTGACCTAGTTTCGAGCGCGGCGGTGACTCCTGGCCGTCTGTTTCCTTCCTAGCGTGGAGTTAAGACCCTCGCACACGTGGCTCTTATGTTTTTGTGGGAAAGTCACTCTACGCTTTTGAAATATAACAAATAGGAATTGTTGAATCATTGAAGGATGCTCTCCCAAATTGAGGAACTCAGAAGTCCAAATTGAATATGCAAAGGCATCCCTTGTTTTATAAATGAACAGCAACAATCCATATCATTTTATCGCGGGGACTAAGTTCAAATCAACGAACTAGTATTTTTTTGAAACAAAGTTCCTCAACACAATCGTACCATCGATGTGATACAAAGCACGACTGTTAGGCTTGGGATTGGACTACCTGCACAAGGGAGGACAACCATGAATCACTTGAGCGCGGGACTATGTAAGCACGAGTCGTGAAACAACTGACCTGCACTGTGTCCCATTGTGCTGCTGGAAATAACTCACTTCTGGCCTCCTTCCGCCCCCTAATGGCACATTCGCATTGATATGCCTTCACTGATCAAGTGAACGTGATTTTCGAAAAAAGAGCATAACTATTGGGGATGTCGAGCGCTATTATTCAGGCTCCTCTCATCGGAACGACCATTAGGAATTTGATAGCGAGGCTCGCTGCACCATCATTACAGTTTTATGACGAGTCGCGGGTGAATATGCTCAACAACCCGAAAGATGCGAGGGAGGTGATTCGAGGTACAATGACACCTACAGGTATATAACTTGAGCAACGTTTCATGCGCTCCGCCTGCTTTATCCATGGCCCTACTTATTCCTTGTCAATCGATATTCATGATAGGTGCGTCTGGTGTACTCTCGCGAGTTCCGTCAGAGGGCAACAGGAGCTCTCCAGTTTTTGTGCCCGAATAGAATAATATCGTATTTCTACCAAGAGTTTTTCAAATGAGGTGTTTTCCGAACAGTGCCTCTATATACCCACTTTGCTGCTCAACGTTTTCGGAAAAGTTGAGAAGATGGTCAGATGGGGAAAGGGGGTCGTTTTTTATCAAGAAGCGGGGGTTCGTATTTCACATAGGATCTCACACCGATGGCGTACCCTTTTGACATATGGCCCGCTTACCATGCTCTGGAATCAGAACCCGGATTCTGGCGGACGTCCAGGCCATTCAAGCCCCTTTACACTTTGGAGACGGTAAATTGGTATCAGATCCAGTTGGGGGGGGGGCGAACTACTGAGTTCTACACCGGGTGGCCCCACAAGTATATAAGTAGGTCATCGTATGCAAAAAGCAATAATGGTTCAGAAAGGAAATAGATGCAACATAATGGTGAAGGATTGATAACGGCGCAAGACTCAAACTTGTAACCTCCTTCCCCCTTTTATAGTCATGGTCGCAATCATTGCACACGTAAGCGAGCGGGGAAAGTACGACGGAGCACAAATGGCAGTTCGCTCGTGGTGCGCATTAAATTTACGGGGTGATGATGTGTGAAATATCGTTGAACATTCTTGAGACCTTGCCGCCGTCGTAAGAAGGCAGTACCTAGCATTATGGCTGACCAGCTCAAAGAGGCCTGCAGTATCTGCGTCAGCATGGAACGGAGAGTAATCCCATGTTAGGTTCATCACGGTCAAGCTCTCGAACTTTGCTCAGGCTCTGTACGTCATCAGACGCTGTGCTTCTCCGTTAGGTACAAAAACTGAGGGTGTAACTCTTCATATCAGAGGCGCGGCACTGCGCGCAAACCAGTACTGCTAGCCAACTGGCTCCTCTCGAGGAATTTCGATCGAGGGTCAAATCAGTCGGGCCATGTAGCCTTTCCTAAAGCTGTAACGTGAACGATACACGGAATAGCGCAACTGAACCGGTCTACAGTATTTCGAAATTTTTCGATTTTCAAAATAACTTTTGTACTATTCATGAGAGAAGCAAAGGAAGATAATGCAATAGCGGGAAGGCACCCAGCGGTCACTCCACCGTACTGAAAAGTCTTGAAGGAATTCAGAAGATTTTAGAAATTTATGACTCCTTCCGACGCACTAAAGCAATGTCGCCTCTCTGCGTAGTGTAAAATTCAGTTAGCCGTCCCTGGTGATGCTCCGTAAGAAAACTCCTCCGGGACAATTTTCATTGAAGTATGAAAGCAGAGATGAAGAGGGGATCGTATTCGATGAGAGAAGGATTCCCTGACTCTTGGTTTTTCTTGTTTCGGAAGTTTTACCTCCCCCCTCCCCACCCCCTCTAGTCTGCCGAGCTCCATTAGTACAGCGTCCGAAATTCCGATAGTTGATCAAAAGTGTCTTCTCCCTCTCTGTTCTCGCTTGATAGTGGAGTTTGGGGAAATTTTGGTGAGGGACAGTGTGTTGGGGTCGTGCAAAGATAACCATTTTTGGGAGGGAGAACTGATCGCGCAGATGTCACCATTCTACAAATCGTCATGATGGTTTCGTGTCTTGTGGCCGCGACTCGACACTGGGAATTCATTTCACTGATTTGTTCAGCATCAACGAGCGTCGGCAAGATCTCTCCAAGATCGTCAATAAATGCTTGTTCCAGATGGCTGTATTAAAATAAAACGAGAACCAGGGTTCAAGCTGCGTTTCGAAATTAATCTCATTAACTATTTTGATCGTCACCAAAGAAGAATCCAAGGGTGTGGTAACGTGAATCGCCGAATGTTTCATGATCTCATGACGGCATAATGAGACGTATTAGCAAGTTTGAGACGACAGGGGTCGACATGCTCAGCGAACCGTAAACTGTGGTTGCGTCGGGGTAATCAGAAATTATTTGGAACAATCGTCGAAAAGTTAAGGTATGCGGGGGAGAAAAGTCGCGTTGAGGAATTTGACAGATAAAAGTGCATGTGAAGGTGCGAATTCGGTGCTATGGTCGACCTGTGAGCTCGAAGGCAGGCTCGCTATCGCCTTTCGCATTTTTTGTTTCGCTTCTCTCTCTACTGGAGAGTTACTTATGGGCTACTGGTTCACGATTAAGCCCCTTCTCCCCGTACGACTTGAAGCGGGAAATGTCTTCAAGTTAGCCCTCATGCAGCTTGAGATGACGTCCGTGGTGCGACGACAAATTAGTTGTATTTCCGAGCCAGTAGACTCAACATACTTCAGCACGTCACGTCATTTGATTAGATTTTGGTGCGAATGCAGCGCACGTAAATCATATTCGCGCCACTTCAATGACATTGCATGTAGGGTCGCGCAGACCCTACTGACGGATGAGGGTATGGTGGCAATCTGCCGTTTTCCGCCAGGGTGACAGCAGCCCACGACTTCTCGCAGAAAGTCGAAATTCATATTTTTTTAGCAAAAGCAGTAATAAATGTCAGGGTGCAGAAACTGAACCAAGCTGTTTTTGTGCGCCCTGGAAAGGAGGCCATAGGTACAGTATAACAGGACGATGCCATGGGTACAGAAAAGCAGGAATGTGAAGCAGCCTGTACCCAGCCTGCACCTACCTACTCGGGCCACCATCTACCTTTAAGCCTTTTTTAAATTCAAATTTTGGGTCGTCTTTAATTTTTTTGAATTGGTGATTCAAAATAAATTTCCGTGTACAACAAAAGCAGGTCATCGTGATTTTTTTAACTACAAATTGACCGGCCGTTCTCAATGGTGAGCGGCTTTGCGAATAAAGTGGGGAATACCACCACTATTTGTCATGGCCACTTCAGAATTATTGACAGCCCAGTTGATCAAAGCTCGAGCTCCACTATATAAGCTGTTCTACTGGGTAAGTAGGCAATTTCTGCTTAAGATGGCCGAAGTTGTATTCTTTGAGCCTCGTCGCACCTCCGTATTCGTCTCACCAGCTGGATCTAAGAAGAAGCTCGCAAATCATAGCGCTATGAGAATAGCTTACAAGGTGACGTGCTACTGTTCCTGGCCCTCCCATCTCAGATTGCTTGTCATCGTTATGCTCTGATCAAACACTTCTTTTCAGTTTATCTTCCCTCCAAATTCGAACTTTTGGGCAGCGCCTGAGCAAATGTACGGCTTTATTCCGCAATGGGGGAAAATTGATGTCACTCTCTTTCGGAACGTAAGGACCTGTCTGCTCTGTAAGCGGATGTTCTGTGAATAAGCCCTCATGTTTCAGAAAGGCAGACCTGCAGATGAAACCATGAGAATTCAATTCGCAGCGGCACCAAAAGGTGAAGATCCTAAGGAAAGCTTCGCCACTGGTCAGCCCGTAGGCGAATATGTGGGCGAAAGTGTAGCACGATTAGTTTCGATTGAGTGAGGAACAGTAGGACTGAATAAGGACCAATATGAAATAAACGTCTGAAGTTTTTGTATTGAGAATCTGTAGGTGAATGTTATGGTATAATTGCTCAGGTTGAAAGTACCAAGAATAAAGTGATCACCTCCAGCCAGTTTTTTTGGGACATTCCTTGGAATATAGCTCAGTTCTTCAGTGAAAGACCCATAGAATTAAATGACACTTCCCAGCCAATTCTTTGGGACATCTCTGAATATATAAGCTCCATTCACTATACCCACGAAGGCTGTGTCGAGCGGAGGGTTGGCCAGGCCAAACCCATTGGTCACCCGGTTAATGAAGCGAGTAAAAGACAACTGTCATTATCGCTTTCGCTACCACTCGTTTTACCATGTTGCGAGAAACGCGTGTCGGTTGCCGCTCGGCACACTCACCTCGCACAGCCCCCTTCGACGCGCAGATTAACCTAGAATACGCTGTTCCGCATGAAGAACATACAAATCCCACAAAGTGCGTAATTGGGCTGCTGCACCTGTATCTCATCGATGTTCGCCAGGAGTGTCAGGCTCAAGGTTGGCAACCTAGAATTCTTCGCCTCCTCGAATGAAGTTGCATACACGAATTTTACATTCCCGCGCATTTCCTTTCATCTTGAACCCTCCGCTTGACCGCTCAGCGCGCTGAATGAGTCTGCATTGGAGTTGATTCCCTACTCTTCTCCGTTCCAAGCATACACCGACAACGGGCACCTGGTGTCCTTTCTACCTTTCTCGCCTCTTCATTCCCAATCTGTGTTTATCTTACTGCCGCGGACGGTGTTCGGCCTGACTGGTAATCGAACAATCGCCTTTACCTTCGGAATATGCGCGGAGTATGACACGTCTCTCAGGTACGTCCACCTGCAGCCCCGTTCCCGTGCACCGCTGAAAAGCAATGTACATACAATCCCCCAGTCGGTTAGGATAATGATGCCTAGGGGAGCCGATACTCGGCTGATCTGAGCAAAAGTGCGTTGGACGTTTTCCAACGGAAAGCTCCCTTATAACACCCTATCGAGATTGCAACATACAACCAGGACGCCCACCGCGCTTGTCGACCACTCAATCGACCTCTTCTTGAGCTCGCATCGCTTATTCATGCAAGATGAATCAAACGCTGCCGTAGCGCCATGTAATTATGAATGGCCAGTATCTACCGTAGCGGTTACTGGCACGAGGCTAAGGGGAGCTCGTCTGAAATTCCGATGAATAGCGTAGAGCAGAGGCTTTGTGCAGGTTTTCCCATTCTCCCACTATTTAGGACCCATGCCATTTTGGACGAGTTATAAGTTATCGTGCCCTATGCCTCTGAGCAGAAAAGCGGCACGCTACTGCAGCTGGTGACCCGCCTCGCACATGGGAGAGACCGTCCTCGGAGGTGAGCACGCAGTTTTTCTTCAGAGATCGTGAGAGCCAAGTTGGGCCCACCGTAGTGCTCTATTCAAGCTGCATTTTTTTCTGGTATGCGTAATAGAAGAGAGAGATAGAGAGACAGAGAAAGAGAGAGTGAGTTAAACAATTGAAAAGCTAGCTCCGACCATATGACTAGTGCGGAATGTGCTCTCACTATGGTGAAGGCTATGATTGACATGAAGCAGCCAATTTAATATTTGATTTGCTCAAACTGGTCATTCTTCCATATCTACAACATGATGGACATCACAGCAATAGATGAAGGATCCATTTTGCATTTATGAAATCTCATCATTACTGTATCATGAAAAGCAATCCACCTGTGATCGAAAAATCGAAAATCAATCATGTGACTGGAACAAATCGATAGTTTTTCACACGACCAACATTCTAGTTCATGAATTTTACAATTAGCGGCCATTGCCTCGGTAGATGGTCGGGCAGTAGTAACTGTATACGCAGTTGTTCGTTACCATATCCCTGACGTAACCGGGGTAGCAGGTACATCCATCGACGCAGTACGGGTAACAGAGCTGTAATGACTACGTGAGACTGGAGTTTGAGGGCCAAACTAGAGGTGAACTTACGTAATATTGACTGTTACAGACGGGTTCACATGGAACGCACTGCACATAGTACTGGTAAGCAGGACATGCTGAAATAACAGGAATGAAATAAAGGCTGTGCACCGCTCCAGGACAGCTTGGTTGGGATTCTGCTGAGTGAGACTGAGCTGGTATCGCAGCGGGTTTTGCATGCGGGCTCTGTTCACGGTTCCCTTAGGAATGTAATGGCACTCACTTCGATAATAAAAAACTTGACCGTAGTACGGCCGATATGGAGGTCTGTAGTAGCTAAGAAATCGTCCTGGAGGAGGTGGTGGTACGACAATGATCGGGCGAGGATTCGGGCAGGCGTATCTGAAAAAGTTGGAGTACAGTAAACAGTATCACGGTAGCCTCCAGAGCTACTAATGCCCTTAACTGTCGGGGTCAAATGAAACACTAGTGCAGCTTATTCGATCGCTTGATATTTATGTTGCAACAGCTAAATAGGATGTCGGCCCTCATCAATAAACGGAGATGTTACGGAATCTTAGGCAGCGTTCAGAATTGTAGCGCTACAGTTGTAGCGCGACGTAGCACTACAGCTGTAGCGCTACAATTGTACCAGACTTCCAGCTTCCCTTTATGTTCTTTCTTTCTGAATTCAATCCCTTTCTCTCTGTTTCTCATATTTATCTGATCCTGAGCTCCTCTTTTCTACTTTATCACTGAATTTTGATGTAGTTTTTGATACAGAACACTGTGATAATGATTTTATAAATCGTTTTCGACTTTAATTATCCAGACTCAGGATTGCTATTGATGTTTGATGTCTTGCAGTGGTGCATCATGTTGATCCCGATTGCGAAATTGTTTTCGTTCTATATTGTTAAAGATTGATTGAGATCAATTCAGTGTTAAAGAGAAAAAGAGGAGCTCAGGATCAGATAAAAATGAGAAACAAAGAGAAAGGAATTGAATTCAGAAAGAAAGAACATAAAGGTAGGCACAGCGACAAGGTTCGGGAGCGTTAGATTTTGCGATGACGCGCGTCGACGCGCCGTAATACGCTGTAACGCGTCGACACACCACCATTTCAAGGGGCGCTACAATACTGTAGACGCAAACACAGCCGCAGGCAAAACCGCAGGAATCGATTGGCGCCAGACGCTTCTGTTTTGAGATAGTATAGGATAATAAGAGGGTAGGCGCTGCTTTCGCCCAGTCTGGCACCTTCCTATTCTCCTATACTCTCTCGAAACACTGGCAGCCAGGGCCGGTCGATCAGGATGCACTAATATAGGGCGCACGCAATAGCATGCGTATTCGGTTGTTGAGGGAGAGGGTGGTCGTATGTGCGTTTGAGAGAAACCGGCTGCGTTCGGAATTTTTCCCGGTTATTGACTTTTCGTGTGATTTTGCCTGTTTCATGTGTACTATACACCGCTCCGCTCGACAGCGAAATTTTTGGAAGACAAGTAGGAAAATTCTCGGTAAATTCCGGAAAAGTGGTAGGAGTTAGCATAATTCAAGAAATTTTCCCGTTTCACATTGCCTTCCCCCCTCGCCCCGCTTGACGGAAAATTTTTGGGTGAAAAACTGGAAAATGTGGGAAATTGGTAGGTAGGTGTTGGAAAGAAGGGGGGGTCGTACCGAGACCCTCATTCAGGTGGGGGTCGTACTGACACCCTCTCTCGGAGGGGGGGCGTACCTACACTACCATTTCACACATCATGATGCTGTACCCTGCGTTCGATATCAGTCTGCATGATTAGGCAACACATGATCTCCTATTCATCCATACTCTTTCGAAGCACAAGCGCGCTGATCAGCCCCCGTCTGTGGCTGCACCGCGTCCATCGATTCGGAGCGCTGTTGCCGTGGCAATGCGTCGACGCGCTTCACCGCAAAGTCTAAACGCTGCCTTACAGCAGGAAATCGCAGGCGACATCATTCACATTCATTGCACGAAATATTTGTACGTCAATGAAGACGGATGATTAGGAAAGAACGTTCTGATTGGCGCTAGGATATGGTTACTGCAGGTGTGTAAGTAAGACAATGGTTTCTGTGCGTGAAAAGCGCCTGATTCTCATCGCGGCGTGCAGGTTTTTGGCAAGATGTTCGGCCAAATATTCAATCTAATGGAGAAATTAATCCAAGTAAATCGAATCATACTTCGGAATACAGGCTCCAGTATAGCGGATATAGCCAGTATCACATTGACAGACATTTGGGACGCATTGCCTGGTACATGTCTGAATCATCTCGAAATTGTTCACTAAACACCTCTATGACACTATTCTCAAGAGCCAAAATGAAATGAGACTCACTGGATTTGGTATAGCGCACGTTGGTTCACATGCAGTTCCACACACGTATCGCCTTTGGTTCCGTCCACATCCCGCAGCTGAAAAATCATGTTGACAATCTTATAAATTGTCATTTGAACCCTCTGTAAAGAAAGGGGTTAGTAGCATACATGGTCAAATGGCTCTGGATGCGGAGCGTTACTCACATGGTCAAATGGCTCTGGATGCGGAGCGTTACTTTCGAGTCACGACATCGTGCGTATTGGTACAGCACCTCCTGTCTAGTTGACTTCAGAGACACGGGTGGGAGTCAAGCGAGCCTCCACTCCGCTCGACGCTCTACACCACACAGGAGGTGGTCGTTTGGCGCGATCACACTGTCGTTTATATGTTCTGGTGCCAAATCAGCGCCAGATAGTGCTAGCATCAGATACCAGTGCGATATTCGTGACCACGGCGCCAAATAACCCCAGTATACAGTTTACAGAGAATTCGCTAAGAAGGTTGGTAACGCCAAATGACAGAAGCTCCAAAACTGATGCGACATTTGTGATCAGTACATATTGATACTTTTATGGGCGAAGCTTGTGCGAAAACGCTTGTATCGCGAGCGTCAAGCAGCTGTGAGCCAAGCGGATGTTGTACTCATATTTAGGAGAACACATTACCATTGATAACTAGTTTTCTGTGGATTTCTTGGAAAGTTATTCAGCATGTAGCGCTGGTTCCAGGCGGTTTCAGGCCAAGCCAATGGTATATTCATGTTGTGGAGGTCAAATTACCCCTGGAGAAAAGTTATCAGCGATTTTGGGGGTTAAGGCTATTCTGCTCAGTTTCAGGCCAACGGATGTGCTATACCCCAGAAAATGAATTTTTTCGGGGTCACTTAATCTTACGATGTACCCAACTGTGTGCGTTCAGGCCTGACACATTTGATTTCTGGCGCTATTTTGGAGGGTCCTCCGTGCACTCCTAACTTTCCCGAAGTTATAACCTCGTTATGTTCTGACAGGTAATGTAGTTGAGCAATCGCTCCGAATCAGTCCAGTGACCCGGAGAAGTTATCTAACTTGCTGGACATGTCGGAACTATAGCAAAACGCGTACTTGTCTGCGCCCCCTCGCTCCTGGTTGTTCAGCAGAGTGCAAGTTTCGCTCCTTGGTATGACGCAAGCGCTACACCTCGGAGATAGCGCGGGCACTCGGCCTATATACTTCTTCCTCAGAGATTGTTTGATTTATTTTCTTTGGTATACTCCAGTTCGCTGTAGACGGTTGGGCGTGTCACGCAGTAAGAGCGTGTCACCCCGTCAAAGCAGATCTCTGCCTTCTTGCTGAAGCGCGCATGCGACAAAAAGTGGAAACCAGTAATACGAACGATGTGATACAGTCATATTCCTTGCTCGCTTTAACAACTGGTGGAGAACGGTGTTTGCCACCGCCGGCAAAACTCATCATGCGCTGACATCGCCCCAACGCGTCGCAGCGAACTGACACTATAACTTACCAGTCGCCTAGGCCGGCGTAATCTGGCGGCGCAAGGCTCCTTCTGATAAGGCCCAGCTTGCGCCGGGGGCGCGGGCGTCAACTGATATCCGCCTTTTGTTCTGTACTCCACTTTTTTCCGGTGTCTGAAGTACTCTTGAGCTATTTTACAGATTCTTCGTCTGACTCGCCCACCTCAGACCTGCGCCGCACAATTTTTGTCCCCCACAATCTTCACCAGCGACACCTCTGCTGACTTAATCCCACCTTTTCCCGTACCGGTCGGCCTGAAGTGCTGTGGGACAGTATTGAGAGAATTTTGTTGGCTGCGCCTCGCAGCTGGGCCCCGCCCACAATATGTATACCCCACATTTCTCAATCGGCGACCCTCTGCTGACCTTAATCCACTTTTTTCCCGTGTCTGGAGTGCTCTGAAACTATTTTGCAGATTTTTCGTCTGGAACCGAGCTACAAACTTTAAAAATGAGTATCCTGCGATTCAGGGCAAGCTCCGCCCACTGTGGGCGGGTCTCAACACACTTTGAGCGTGCCCTATATTCGCCGGATATTTACATTCTACACTGAGTTTTTTGCGACTTCCAAACACTCTCGCGAACCGGGTTACTGAATTTTGCGAGAAGCACCGCCCACCTTGAGTACGCCCGCCCATTTAGGGTGTACCTGCCACAGTTAGTCTGGCGACTCCTTACTAACCTTAGTCCCTTTTTTCCCCATCTTTAAGCTGCTCCGGAAGCGAATTATGAACATTTTTCTGCGGAACCCCAAACTTTCGGCGAGTGCCCCGCCCACTGTGGGCGGGGCTTGCCATAGGTCAAGTGTGCTTTTTATTTCTTGTCCCATGCCCTACCTATCCCCACCTTGACTGGACCTTCTCCAAGTCGTTCTTCAGGTCGAACCGAATTTCCGGACAGACAAACTTACAAACTCACAAACTCACAAACAAACAAACAAACAAACAAACAAACAAAAGCAAGCGATTATATATATGGGGGGTGATTTTTCATTATTTGTTGTGCAACCTGAACTTTTGCTTCCTTACTTCTGAGTTTTTGCCGCATCCTTATTTGCCTCCCAGTGAATAAATGATCAAACGGGTTAGCAAACAACACAAGAAACTTACGTGCACGAGTAGTTGTAGGTGCACGAGTTGTTGGACAGCCTCCCCTTACAAGGCAATTAACCTGAAAGCACAGCATCTCACACAAATAAGAAAAATTTCGAAGGCTTTCCAGTTAAGAGAGCGTAACAAACCAGAATATTTATCAGAGAAGTTGAATTTCCCTTTAACTTACAGACGCAGGGAATCCTACCACTAATTTATCTCCCTATTTTTCTATATTGAAGTGTACACCAGCTAACTATTCCTTTTTCGTGCTAAGCGGTGTATCGTCCGAGCAAAGAAGGAAAGCAGTGTGGTCCAGTCATCAACAGATTCAATTACCAGGTTTTGCGAGCCAGTTCTCGGGAAATGCAGCTGTGATCCCGAAAGGAAGCCCCAGTCCGTGTCAGGTAAAGAGGGTAACAAGGGGCGTGGTTGAGCAGCGTGAGGGGGATCGCTGTGAGAGGTCAGACGAGCCTGAGTAAGTATAATAGAGCAGAGACTACAAGGAAGTACTAAGCCGTCGTGGATCCCCTTCGCGGCATCTGCTGTAGACGATTGCGCACCGTTAGAGCCAGCCGAACACGATAGGTTACATTTTATTCCATAAAAAGCTGGAGTTCTAATGGATGTTCTGCAGTGGGAGATTCGTGGGTGGAACACTTCATTCAGCATGCTTTCCGCGATCGTCGTCTTCAGATGCCAAGGTTTCACCATTCCTACTTCCTGCTTTAAGAAAAATCTTTAAGGTCACGGAGTATTTGACTCACGTTGATGCAGCGCTCAGAGGAGTGTTGCGCCGCTATGCGATGGTGGCTGCTTGAAAAAAAAATCGCTCATCACTCTAACAGTCTAGCTTCAATTGTACTCTAACCTCTAATGAGTGCCAAGCCTCTACCTAGGTTGGGTATACTCTAGGATATCGCGATAGGGGATGGGGAGATCAAAAGGCATGGGCCCACGATAATGTGGCTCCCGACACGAGATAGAAGCATAAGGGCTAACTAGTGTTAGGGTGAAGCGAGAATAGGAACCATCTCCCAAAAGCGCTCGAAATAAGGTTTTCATGAACCCTCCCTTCTACCTTTGCCATTAGGGCACGGATAATATAGGTGTCGCTGGAGTGAGTTCATCGCTGGCATTAATGGCAACGAACTTTGCTGCTGTAATACTATTGCAACGCATGCCAGAGGGCAGTGCGCTAGTCCGTAACTTTTCCCAGGCTAGTCCGTAATTTTTTTGACAGGACCGAGTAGTCGATCCTGTCAAAAAAAGTGAGTCGATATACGACCTTGAAGGTACATTCCGCGTTAGGGTATAGAAGCTGAAATTATGGCGTCGGAGGGTAGTGTGGTCCGCGAAGAACAACCTTGTACCGGTTTCGCAGCAAAAAATTATAAGGGAGGGGCGCTGTAGCGCAGTATAGGTTCAGTGACGCCTCCTTTTTCTCCAGTGACTCCGCCTCCATGACTGCGTCTTCAGGGCCCGCTTTTCCGAGAAAAACGAAGCTGCAGGAGGGAAGAAGCTCAAAATCTTCACTGTGTACGCATCGTAGAGTTTTTTCGGGGAGTTAGCTATGTGCGATTGAGGGGTAGTGTTGAAGATGGCGATGAGCACGGTACAAAATGAGATCGGAGTGAGGCTTCTATCAGGACGAAAATTTTTTCGTATTTCTCTTTTCTTTTACAGGATTTCCGAGTTACCAGAATCTTTTCGTTTAATGCAAACTTTTATCCAACCATCGGTGAGCAAGTTGGCACGATAAATCCCCCAAGACGACTAGGATCAATACTCCTGGCAGGATAGAATTCCGCTACCCTGGGCAGGCGCTGCATAGCGGTTTCCCCGAGGAAGTGCTCATATAAGGGCCCTATCAAGCCTCGCAACTTTACGTCCAAACGCCCGCCACGCCCGCCCGCCCACAAATGGACGACCGTTTCTGACGCTCTAATCGATTCATTTGCTAAGCAAATTGTGAAAGCGAAGGGATTGGTATGAAGCGGCCATGATGCTGCATGCATACATGGGTACATATATGCAGCCGTATCTTCGGTAGCTGTGATTGGTAAGATGCCTAAGGGAAACTCGTCCGAAATCGATTTTACAAGTCACTGAGAACGGAGGCTTTTTCTTCGCAGGATTTTGACCGTTTCACTCCGTTCTTTCGCCATTTCCCCACTATACAGCGCCCTACTAGCATTTTAGGCTAAGTAGGAAACCATCGTGCCAACTGCCTTTAAGGCGGTCACCGCCTTCAAAGATGACGAGTTATGCTACTCACGGATTTAACAACAAAGTAAGTTAATGATGCCAGCCAGTGTAAAAAGCCTAGGGAAACCTGCGGGGAAATCCCCATATGAAGCCACAGATGATTGTACGTTTGTACGGGCATAAGGCAAAGAAGGCGTAATCGTACAACATCGCTTTCGGTGCACTTTTTCCCCTAACTGGCGGCGTCCTTTAGCATTTCTGAGCTACGAAATTTGTACATCCTCCATGCTTGTGG